GGCAGGCCTTCTGAGTGGCAGTGGGGAGTTCTTCCTGAGCAATCACTCCCCTGATTCCCACTCAACTGCTTCCCGACCTTTCCACAGGGGACTGCTTTTGGGCATTACCTCCTCCTGATGATAGATGCTGGGGGTTTCCACCTCTCCCTCTGTCACTCCAACTCCACTGTGGAGGAGTCCCTTCTTTGCTCCCCCCCAATGGTGTTCTTTGTGGGGGAGGAATAGCCTTTGAAAGTCCTCCAAGATCAGCTAGACTCCCTGGCGGAGGTAGTTCTTCAAAATAGAAGGGGTTTGGACTTATTAACTGCCGAGAAAGGTGGCATCTGCTTGTTTTTGCAGGAAAATTGCTGCTTCTACACCAACAAATCAGGCATTGTTAGAGATCCAAGAACATCAAGAAAACCTGTGGACTGGCTTTCATGGCCTTCTACCCTATATTCTTCCTCTACTCGGACCCTTCTCTTCCTTCTCCTACTTACCCCTGGGCCATTCTTTCTTAACAAACTCATACAATTTATCCAGCAGTTTATCCAGCAGAGGTTAGAGGCAATTAAGCTGCGTCAAGTAGAAATACATTATCATCCATTAGCTACTCAGGAATCTAACTCTGGCTCGGCCTAGGCGTCTTCCTAGAAAAGACGCTCCTCTGCCTTCCATTTGACCAATGATGGGAAAGACCCCAGACGTGCTGGGGTGACCTAAGGCAGGTCCTGGAGGAGCTCCTGACAAGCTGGCTACATGGTACTCAATGACGGGTAAGATCTCGATGTGGGGGACAACCTAAGACAGGGGCCATGTCCGCTGTCAAATAAAAGAAAAAAGGGGGAAATGTTGGGCCTTACAAGGCCTGCTGCATCTACCTGAGCCTGAGTTTGGAGATCTGTCTTTAGTTTCTGATTTAAGAGGCACCACTTCCGGGCAAAAGTGATTCAGCATATCCGCCTTAAAATCAACCCTGCCTGGTAACTGTTACATGGAGTTTTGTTGCTGGCCCACCTCTCCTTGCACTACCTAACCTTGCTCTCTTTGTCATCTTACCTCACTTCCTTAACCCTGCCCCCTGACCCAAACCTATAAAAAGGACCGATTATTCAATAAACTGAGTTTCTGCTTCGACGGATCTCCTGGCTCGGTGGTGGTTTATTCCCTGGGGCCTCCGGGGAGGTCCGGGCTGTTGACACTCACCATCCCGCTCAGCCATGGAGGGTGTCCAGCTGGACTGGCCAACCCTCTTCTCAGCTCCACCTGCCGGATATACCCGGCAAGGTACCATGTCAGTGCTGGGAACTGATCTGGGTTGTCTGTGATAGCAACAAGTACTCTTAATTGCTGAGCCAACTCTCCAGCCCCAAAGGGTGTGTCTTGTATAATGAATTAATCTAGACATCTCGCATCATTTCTAAGATTTTGTTTCATTTGATAATTATAAACATTAAGCCTGTATTGGTGTGTGAGAGAAAGAATTTCAGCTTACAGCCTAGAGACTATTGGTGAATCACCAACCCAGCAGCAAGCCTCAGTCTCCTCTCAAAGGGAGTATGATTCTCAGTTGCTGAAGGAACTGTCTTAGTTGAATATTCAGAGTATTTTTTTCTGTAGTTTTCTTTATAGGAACTTCCCTGCTCGCTCATCTGTGTTCATAAATCACCATGATGGGAGAAGGAGAAATTACAGAAACCTCAAAATTTTTTTTTGTTTATCTAACCAAAGGTTCATGTTGGGACTCAGAAAACAATTCCACAAAGCATTGTATTTTGATATGTTGAGAATTTGATCTGATGGAGAATGGAAGTCCTCATTGATCTTCTCATGGCCTTTGTCTCCTGCCACTCCTTTCCCTGAGCAATTCACTGAAACCACAATTCTTTCTTCCTTCCTTCCTTCCTTCCTTCCTTTCTTCCTTCCTTCCTTTCTTTCTTTCTTTCTTTCTTTCTTTCTTTCTTTCTTTCTTTCCGTCTTTCTTTCTTTCTTCCTTTCCTTCTTTCTTTCTTTCTTTCTTTCTTTCTTTCTTTCTTTCTTTCTTTCTTTCTTTCTTTCTTTTTTTCTTCCTTTCTTTCCTTCTTTCTCTCTCTCTTTCTTTTCTTTTTTTCTTTCTTTCTCCTCTCTCACTCTCTTTCTCTTTCTCTCTCTCTCTCTCTCTCCCTCCCTTCTCTCTCAACAGGGTTTGACTGTGTAACCCTGGCTATCCTGGAACTCGCTATGTACATCAGGCCTTGAACTCAGAGGCCAATGCTTCTACTGCATTTTTTTTTCCTAAAGCAAATCATAGAAATGAGGGGTTGAGGAGAAGACTCGGCAGTTACTGTTAGGCCCAGGGAGAGCCCAATTGCCAGGAAGACAACTGAAGGAAACTTGGAGATGGATGGATGCAAACGCAAGAGGTTTATTCAGGCCATCGCATGATGGAGTCACCTTGCAAGTCAGCAAGGAACAGCCCCAGGGACCAAAAGCCTTGGGTTTTTAAAGGAAAAAGCACGGGGAGGCACGGGGTTGCAGCTTGTCAGTACAGGATTGGGTGTAGGGGCTATAGGGTCATTGACTTTAAAAATGATTGGTTCATTTTAGGCACCCAAGTCCAGTCAGTCCTGCTCTGGACATCTAGAGGATATCTGGTTTTTAAGTTACACCTGGGATGTCCTTTGATGTACAGATTCAGTCTTAGTTGGGGAGGGGGTGACCATCACATCCTGTGGCTTCTTGGAAAAGGGGAGTAAAGAGCTATCTGGGTGAGGGAGTTGTGACCTTCTGGACAGGTTGCCAGGCAACCCTATCTGGTACTGCCAGCCTGCACATTCCTTTGCAACAGGGAGGAGACCTGGGGAGCAACCACTGGGCAAGGATATCTTGGAACTACCGGCCTAGTTTAATTTTTTTTTTTTTTTTTATTTTACAACAGGGTGGGTCTTGTCTCAATTCATCTGCTTCTTTTTTGTCTGCGTCCTTCTGCTTTCTGGAAAAGTACTGAGAGAATGTAGTTTAACATGGGGTATAAAATTCATAAAGAAACCTGTGAAGCTGGCCTGTTCCTTTCGGTTACGAGACTTGTTGCTTTTCCAGAGAACCAAGGTTCTATGGCAGCAACCACTTTGGGTAGCCCACCTGTAACTTCACCTCTAGGAAGATCTAGACCTCTGGAACTTGCACTCACATGCACATGTCCACACACACACTAAATATATATATTTTTAAGCTTAAAAAAAACAACAACCCAGAAATTGGAAAGGTCACTCTTCACTGCAGGGGATAAGGATTCTGCTCCTTATCCTCTACATGACCCCCCCCCCCCGCTTGTCTAATCTCATTTCTGCGAAGCTCTTCTTTCTTCACTGAACCTAAGCACAGAACGAGACAATTTCCCTCTGTGTCTTCTCTTTTGAAATCTCCGTGTCATGTAAATGTAGTGGAGACTACATTTCAGTCTCTCCGTGTGGACCAGGACAATCCTAATCTTCCCGCCTTACAGTCCTTAGTTCTGGAATTACAGGTGTATAACCAAACCCATTTTAACCTGACTTTGGTGATGAGGACACCAGTTGCAAGCTTTATGATGAATGGTGATGGGCACTGTATCTTTGAGCATCTGCAGTTAGAACTAGACTGTGGTTCATGCTTAGAGTCGGTCACTAAGGCTTTTCTCAACCTCACTCATTTATGTATTCTTTTGGATGACTCAACATCCGGTAAGTCTAAGCTGGAGAGGAGACCCGGCCGGCAAGAGTACTTGAGGTTCTTACAGGAGACAAGAATTTTATTTTTACCTCGAAATTGCCTGTCACTACAGCTTGACACCTTCTGATACCCACTGGTTTCTGCACATGCATGTACACACACATAAAGAAAAAGATTTCCAAGTTGTTGGGCTGCAGTGTGGCTTATCCGCAGAATGCTTGTCTAGCATGTTTGAGGCCTTTGGTTTGATTCCTAACACTGTGGTCTATCAATTGACTAATCAGTCCGCTGCTCAACATCTATAATGCCAGCACTCGGGTGTGTGAGACAGGAGGATCTTGAGCTTGAGGCCCACCTTGCACAGTGAGACCCTATCTCGAAAAAACAGAAACAGAGTTGATGCCCTGGGTTCAGCCCCAGCCCCAGCATGAACTAGGCCTGGTGACACACAAGTGTAATCCTAGCACTGGTGGAAGGAAAAGGGTCAGACGCTCAAGGTCATCCTTGGCTGAACAGTGAGTTCAGGGCCAGCCTGAGCTACAATAAAACCCATTTCAAACAAACCCTCTTAAGTGTTAGTTCGCCAGGCTCAGCCGGATGCAGAACTCTGTTGTTCTCATGAGCAAAATCAAAGTCCAATTTAAATAGTAAAAAACAATTTCACAGTGAGAAACTTTCTACTCTGACACTCCACGCTGTGCTCCAAGCTGGTCTCCAACTGGCGATCTTCCTACCTCACTGTGCACCACCGCATCTGGCTACAGCAGCCAAGTCACCAGTACGGATTCTAACTCATGGCGGAGCTATCTATTCCCCGGGAAGCGGGACAACCCAACCCGATGAAAAGAAACAGCAATAAAGCCAGAGGCTGAACCTGGAAAATATCTGGGGATGCCCCGCCCAGGCCGCCTAAACACAAAGCCCTGCCTTGGGCCTACGAAGTACTGGGTCTGGGGCGGAACTTGCCAAACTTTACAGGCACCGCCCAGGGTGGGGTTCAGTTTAGGTTATGCCTTTAACACCCCTGCTCTCCCTCTCCCACCCCAACGCGCAGCCTTTTTCTGATCACTCCATGCATAAACGGAAATTTCAGTGGCTTGCCCTTTCTTGCGGGAGCGCAGAGGCCTGAAATAGGCCCACCAAGAAAATGAGCGAAAGGGGAGCTCAAGTTCAGAAAAAGGGTGCCTCTGGGCCAGCTTGTTTATCCCTTAGATCCCGGGGCGGAGCCTTAAAAAAAAAAAAAAAAAAAAAACTTTGGACATCCCGCCCTGTGGTCGGCCTCTTTCTCTCCCCACCGCGAAAGATGCCAACTCCCGCCCGGCTGGGCTGAGTCACAGCCTGAACTGGGGAGGAGGCGGGGAAAGGCAGCCCCAGCCCAGATTGCAGCCGTCGGTCCCAGGGAGAGCAGGCCGGATGGTCAGAGACCATGGGGGAGAGCGCGCTGGAGCCGGGGCCTGCGCCCGGGGCGCCGGCCGGGGGTCCCGTGCACGCCGTCACCGTGGTGACCCTGCTGGAGAAGCTGGCCGCCATGCTGGAGGCGCTGCGGGAGCGGCAGGGCGGCCTGGCTGAGCGGCAGGGCGGCCTGGCGGGCTCGGTGCGCCGCATCCAGAGCGGCCTGGGGGCTCTGAGCCGCAGCCACGACACCACCAGCAACACGCTGGCGCAGCTGCTGGCCAAGGCGGAGCGCGTGGGCTCTCACGCCGACGCGGCCCAGGAGCGCGCCGTGCGCCGCGCCGCCCAGGTGCAGCGGCTGGAGGCCAACCACGGGCTGCTGGTGGCGCGCGGGAAGCTGCACGTCCTGCTCTTCAAGGTCAGTGACCTCAGGCACCCCCCACCGAGAGGCACTACCCCCTTCCACGGGTCCACCATCTTCACTTTCCTGACCCTACAGGCGGCCCTCAGCTGGGGAAGACTCTCAGAGCCGCACCCACTTCCCACATCCCAGCCTTGATGGTGCTTGCTCCCAGCCTGGACAATCCACCCTCCTTGCTTTAGCTCAGGCAGATTTGGTCAGCCCCCACCGCGTGAAAATAACGGTTATGGCGTTTCCTGCCTCCTCCAAATGCCCGTACAGCTGTTGTCTCGTCGCACACCTTACATGGTTTCACCTACTTTGCAAACTTTCACAGTCTGCTCTCCCCCTCCCTGCACATCCCTCTGCTCTCCATCCCCCAACTTTCCATTCCTCTCTCTTGGCCCCAGTTCCCTGCGCAGAGGCAAAGGGCGGAGTAGCTACCCTCGGTGTAACTGCGAGGAGGGAGTTTCAGGCTGGTCCTGGCTAAGTGCCCACTAAAGCTGTGTCTTCACATTCAGGAGGAGACGGAAATTCCAGCCCGCGCCTTCCAGAAAGCACCAGAGCTCTTGGGACCGGAGGACCAGTTGGTGCTGGGCCCAGAGGAGCCAGAGGGTGAAGTTGGAGAGAGTTCCGATGAGGAGCCGGTGGAGTCCCGGGCTCAGCGGCTGCGACGCACCGGCCTGCAGAAGGTACAGAGCCTGAGAAGGGCTTTGTCTAGTCGAAAAGGCCCTGAAGCAGCACATCCCACACCAGTCAAGCCTCCCCGCCTAGGGCCTGTCCGGAGCTCCCAGGGCCCAACAGAAGGCCAGCCTGCCGCTCAGCCAGACCCGCCCCCAGAGTCTGCCCTGGAGCCAGAACCGCCTCAGCCTCAGGCTACCAAGGACGATCCTGGGAGGCCCGTGCTTCAAATAGAGAGCACGACCTGATCCCTGGGGCTCCCTGCCCCACTTGGTGCTTATGCATTGTTCCAAAATAAATCCTTAAAGAGTGCAGCGCTTACATCCAAATAAGGAGGGATTCCTGAATCCACTGCCCCGCTCGCTCCAATCCTTCCCTTCTTCCTTCCGGGCTTTCCAGTCTTGTACCCTGTACCCTGGAAACATCCACCAATTTAGGCTCACCACCAATAAAAGCTGTTTCGTCTAACCCAGACTCCATGTGGAAGGGGGAGCATGAGCACGGGGAGGGGAGGGCAGTGGGAGGAGCAAGCACGACGGAGGGGAGGGTTGAATGGCAAACACTTCTGCCTTTTCATTGAGTCCTGTTCTGCATTGGCACGGAGAAGTGCCCTACCGGCCGCTTACTGCCTGAACACATTCCTTGTGGGGACACATGAGTGCAATTTTGGGCCCGGCTGGGGGATGGTTTGCAGTGCTTTGATGAATGCCCAAGGAAATGCCAACTAATGCGTTCCCATTTGGTTTCTTCGATCTCTGACACCCTTTATTAAAAGCTGACTTTTACAGAGTTCTTTAGTCAGGCTCGTGTTCACTCCTCCGATGTCTGGTGTCGACCCTCCCTCCGGGGCCTCTCCTAGCAGCCACAGACCATTGGGTTGGTGCAGTTGGAAAGCAATCCAAAAGTAGCCTTTGGTCTACTTACGTTCTTCTGCCAAAAACCAAAAGAAAACACACAAACCACTTATTGTTTTCAAAAACAAATGAGTAATCTGATAGGTGGAGAGAGTCTAGGCCACTTAGAATTGAGCATCTCCCACAAACAAAGAGACAGTGTGATGAACTGACTTCATAGGTGAAAGGAGTAAAACAAAATCTTCTCCCACAGTCTTCCAGTCTTCATGCCAATGCACTAAAAAAAATCTACATGTCTTTTAGATTTTGTTAGTGTTTGAATCTGAAATGTTCCCTGAAGGCTCATTGCTGGGAGCTTGGTTGCTCGCTTTCTTCTTCTCCTCCTCCTCCTCCTTCTTCTTTTCCTCCTCCTTCTCATTCTCCTCCTCCTTCATCTCCTTCTCTTCCTCCTTCTTCTTCTCCTTCTCCTCCTCCTCCTCCTCCTCCTCCTCCTCCTCCTCCTCCTCCTCCTCCTCCTTCTTTTGCAGTAGAATGGGTTCTGATCTACTGAATGGATTAAGCCCTGGTGGTTTCCATAGTATGCCAGCGTTATTGGGAGAGAGTGGTTTGTGTGTTTTCTTTTGGTTTTTGGCAGAAGAACGTAAGTAGACCAAAGTGAAAAGTAGGTGAGCTTAGTTGGAGAAAGTAGGTCACTGGGTGTATTTCCTGGACAGATGGATGCTTTATTGCCCATCTCTGTTTCCTGGCTGCTATGAGGTGAGTGGCCTCAGCTAGATATGCCTGCTGCTATAACCTGCCTCACTTCAGGCCAAAGCCATCTCGGCAGGCCCCATTTTAAATTACAACAACAACAAATCATCTCAGTATGGTAGCATGAGGAATTAATTTCATATGCCTAACAGAATAGCCGCAGTGTTAATTCCCCTGAGGGTATACATCATGTCAGTTTCATGCACTTTCAAATAATCTGGAATATTCAAGTGTCCACCACCATTCTGTGGACACTTCCATATCTAGCACTGGCAGGGTCATAATAAATAGCAGTGGGCACATGGGATGGGAGAGGGCTATCTATCACCTTTTTAGGGAAACAGGCCATGTGGAAGCCTAGCTGCTTGAAGTAGGCCAGGCAGGGCATAAGTACAGCAGTTTGCTCACGATGCCCTCCCTGGGGGATGCAGATTGCAGCTGGCCTGCGCATCTGGTGAAGCTGCCATGGGTGCTGTGATGCGGGCTGACGACTGGCTGAGACACCGGTGGGTGCTTCTGGGCCGGACGGCACACACAGATGAAGTGCAGTGATTGCCGTCCATGTGACAGAAGCTGTGCAGTGGCTCTGTTTCCCTCCTATTTAAAGAGAAGCAGCAGCAGACACGTGCTGGAGGACAACTTTAACAGCTGTTCTGCTGTGGGAGTTCTACTGAACTCAGATCATCAAGCTACGTGACATATACTCTCACTCGCTGGGCCATCCTTGGTCTTCTGTCTTCTAATTTAAAACGTTTTTAAAGGCTTATTTTATGTGTTTCGCCTGCATGTTTGAATGTTCATCACATGTGTGCCTAATGCCCATAGAAGCCGGGAAAGGGCATTGGATCCCCTGGAACTGGAGTTACAGATGGTTGTGAGCCACCATCTGGGTGCTGGGACCTGAACCCACATCCTCTGCAAGAGTAACAAATGCCTTTACCTGCTTAGCCATCTCTCCAGCTCCTACATTCTTTCATAACTTTTGATTAAGTTTCATTCAAGACCAACAGCCACTTATTGAGTGCCTACTAAGTGGCAGGCCCTGCCTGAGTATAGTTCAGAATTTCTCCCCCTCCTGAGTTTTCGTTACTAATGAGTGGCACTGTTATTTGCATAAAAATTTTAACTTTTGGTTGGTTAAATAGTTCTGCGTTCCCTCCCACAAGGAGATAGTTATCGTGGACCTGACCTTTACAGTAAGGCTTCCACACTATTAATCTGTGGCCTTTTGAGGGCTTCTCACCTGACCAGGCTTAGACCACCTGTCTGATCATGCAGGTCTCCTGGTTCACACGGTCAGTGTCTCTCACAATAAAGCTAAAGCTTTTCACTAAACTTAGGAATTGGTCTCTTGTGTCTTGCTGTGTGTCCTCATGCTGCAGTAGGTTGAATGTCTCTGAGCACTGAAACGATGCCACAAGTGGGAGATCACAGCTGACCCCACGTGACAGTCACCATGTGAGTGCAGGTGTACTGAATGTTTATACAAAAACTCCGTTCGGCTCTGTGTGTAGAGTGCATGGCTGGTCCAGACGCCGGAGCTCTCATTGTCCTGAGCCTGTGCTGTCGTGCTGAGCCACATGCTCTGTCTGGTCTCCTGCAAAACTCAGCAGGGCACACCTTCTTCAGGGCCAGGCGTTTCCTTGGTCCCAAAGCACCCCTTGCCCAGCCCTCAACGCTCTGGTGGCCTGGTCGTGGTCGTGGTTGCTATGTTTCATCGTTTCATCCCATTCTGCCAGACCAGTGAAAATTTTGCTCTGGAGACTGTTCTACTCACGGTTTCTTGCGGCTGGTGCTCCTTTTGACCACATGGTGTCACTGTCGGGGTGCCAGTGTCCAAGCTGGCGCTTCATCCAGCTCCCCCAGCTCTCTCTCCGCTTGGTTTGATTTTCTGGAGAGGGGGCAGTTGGTGGACCAGGCTTTGTGGGTCTGAGGGCTCCTTTCAAATGGGGAGACAGGAGGCTCCTCCTGCAGACTCCGAAACCCTGGTAGTCACAACACTCCTGGCTTCCTAGCCGTTACTGCTTTCCAGAGTCTCCCACCTCAAAGGGACAGGAAAAGTCTTTTTATTTCTTTTTTCTTTTTTAAATCCTTAGGAATCCACCTGATTTCCCGCTTTCAACCCACAAACAAAAGGAAGGCCTCAGATGATTTTTTTTTTTTAAACACATAAAATGTGTAGGCCCTTAACTTCTAGAAACCCAAAGACTTGGGGAACTTCCAAAAGAAGGTACAACGTTAGTTTTTATTCCTTCCTAATTGGTCTACAATAGCAAATAACTGAATCAAGTTAAGACAAAATTAGTTCTGTTTCTTAAAAGCCCACTTGATCACATTATGTTCTCAATTGTCACGGCTACAGTAATTGTTAATAAGGTTGGAGGGCATGGAGGGCATGGAGACGCAGATGAGAGCCTTCCCACAGTGCAGCGCAGCCACACGCAGCTGCTTTAGGCAGGTGGAGGGTACGCTGATGGATCGCTAAATTTCAGAGGTGGTTCTCAGCTCTTTAGGCCAGAAATGGAAATTTATTCGTTGATCCAGCATGATTTGGCTGATCTGAAATAGCAAAGCTCAAAAAAGATTGATTAACTCTGGTACTAGCCTCATTAATTTCCCTAAGAAATCTAACTGCCGAGTAAGTGGAGCAACCCAGGCAGAGAGAGCAATTTTCATCCTGCTACAGAGTCTCCAAGAGAAGTCAGAGAGAGCTTAGGGTGAGTGCAGAGAGTAAGGTTACTGAGCCTGTGCTCTGGTGTGACATTCCTCCTATAGCAACAAAGAATACATGCATTCATGGTAGGGAATTCTCCTGTGGGTAAGTACAGGCAACTCTGGGCTTTCCTTTGTTGCAAGCGGAGGAGTCATAACCTCAGCCCTGAAAAACTCTTCATCCCCCAAGCCACTGAGTCCACTAAAGTGTCTTGTTCAGTCTTGTCTATTCTTAGTTGGTCTGCGTTTGAAAAAACCCAGGGCCCAGGAGCTCACCATTTTGATGGTGATGGTTAGTTAGATGACGGGTACAGTCATCTGGGAAGACAGAACCTCAACTGTGATTGGCCTGTAGGCAAGCCAGTGGGGTCAACTTTCTTAATTAATGATTAATGTAGGAGGACCTATCTCATCATTGACAGTGTTACCCCTGGGTGATTAGCCCTAGGTTGTTTAATATGACGGACTGCAAGCCGTGATTGAAGAGACCTCACCAGTCCAGGCCTGGCAAACATGGATCTGGCAGGCCTTGCCCTTCTCCCCGATACCTTCTGCCTTGCTAAAAAACTTCAGATTACATTCCTAAAGCTAGCCATCAAGGACTATCCCCCCCCCCTTTTTTTTTTGACACTTCCTCCTCCTGAGGCTAACTACCAAGGTCCAGCTGTCAAAGTATTGAAGTCCAGCAATCAAAGGCCTCTTTGGTTCACCTAACTAACATGCCCAATCAAAATATACCACCCCATCCCAGTCCACTCTAACACAGAACCTCCCCCTTTTCTCTTTTTAAAAATGATACCTGAAAGGTTATTTGCTGCTGTTGTTCTGCCTGAGTCAGAGAGCAGTCACTTGCACTTTTCTTCCCTGACTGATAGAAGGTCTCCCTGTGAAAACAGGTGTTTGAGTGTTTGTGCCTAATCCAGGAAGGAATCCCCAATGTGCCGGGGTGAGGCGCTAACCTTCAGCAATAAGACAAATCCCTTCCTCTCTAGGTGGCTTTGGTCACAGTGATCATCACAGCAAACTAGGACAGTGACCAAGACATTCTCTTTATCCCAAGATCAAAATCTGTTCCCACGATTTCCAAGTGTGGCAGTTGTTTCTCCTTCAGGGATATGTTGGAGAAGACCTACTGAAACAGGGTACAGAGGGCTGAGT